ACACGGAATGGCATTACAGCTAAATGTATAGATTATACTTCCTTGAAAAGTCAGCATACGGATGATTATAAAATGAGAGGATGCATTTTCCAGCTATTATGAATCACAGAATCATAGAATTATCTATGAAGTCGCATTGGCTGGCTATATGACCAACACATGAATCATAATCAAAAGTACCAGCTGTACCATCATGTGTTACAGTGCAAAGAATGCCAGGATAATCAATAAAAACCAGCAGAGAAGCAGAACTGGCCATCTAGAGAACACCATTGGGCTGTATTGGAACACATGGTATGCAAATAGGTTTCTTTAGGGTGAGAGCCTATATTTTTACTAAGTTAAAGCTGTTTATTTTGGAATCAAAGTGTGCAATTAAGATGTATAGTTCATTATCAACTGTTTTGGAGTGGAAATATAGTGGAATTCTGACCAATAAGCAAGTGGTTGGACTAAGTTAACAGCATTTACTAGGGAAAAGTAAACGTTTTCTTGTTTCTTTTAACAAAAATGATGAAAGGAACATGCGGATATGAACTTGCTTTTTCTCTTCAAGAAATAACGAATCTCACCACACTTATTAAAGGATATATTGAAATACAGCCATAGCCCTTTTCATCCTAAACTGCATAGCAGAAGCTGATGCACATAGAAAACTACATGTTATTTTGTGCAGTGACTGCATGATCCAAAGTTTCCTGAATACAATAAAAAATATCTCATCAACTTCAGTGGGTTCGTGATCAGGCCCCACTTCTTTCACTCATGAAGAATTCACTTTTGTTTTCAGAATATAGAGCAGAAACACTGAAAACTGTTTCTGCTCTGAAAACACTGTAGTGCCTCAGAAAGCTATGTGCATCTTTGGGAAGTTAAATTAACCACGATAATATGTCACTGAATCAGAAAATGGGAGAATTTGAATCAAGGTTTATAATGAGTTTCAAGGAGGAATCGTTAGTGTCTGTGCTCATTAAAAAATAGGGATTAAAGCAGTCCAATTAGTGTCCATACATGAGACTAAAAAGGCCATAGTCCAAAGACACAGTAGTGGAAATTGTAATAAAAGATGTTTTGTTCTTGTTTGGACGTTCTTTGCTGCATTTGCAAAACAACAGATACTCTTATTTTCCCCTCTTTCAGAACTCTAGGCTTACCTGTTTCTTTGAAAACTTCTTTCACTTGGCTTCAGATGGCTTTTTAAAGAAAAATTAAGCATCTGAATTCCCATGTGCAAATAACATCAGAATTAATTGCAGGTTAATGCAACTGGGTTGGAACTTTTTTGAAGGACAATTTTTTGGAATTGTCTCCTCTTAAAGGAATTGTGTCTGTGGGAATGTCTCCTGTGTGTAATAGAAAGTAGCTGGAAAAGTAAGATGCTTTGCAATGAGATGCTTTACCCATCGAAAAGGTAGGCATGTTATCTAGGCACTTATCACCTCCTTTTCTAGGTTAGCAGAGACAGCTGGGTGACTAATTCCATATGGCTTTAAATACAGAATTTGTGGTAGCTTTGGGAGGTGCCCAGTATTCACTGGAGGACCTTGAATGACTGTCCTTGACCAGACCCCTAACTTCTAAACAACTTGAAAAGGTTTATACAGATTCCTGCCTTTTTTTTTTTTTTTTTTTGTGGGATTCAGCTCACAGATGCAGACATCTGCATGTCTACAGTCCAGCAAGGTGTCCAGGCTTCTTCACAACTTCAATGAAGATTTGGTAAATCAGTCAAAAGACCTTTGAGAATTATTCAATGTGTCCTGAAAAGAAACATTTTCATTTTTTCACTCTTGGTGTTTTATACGTGGTCCTGAGCAACCGGCTCTAGGTGATCCTGCGGGAGCAGAGGGTTGGACCAGATGACCTCCAGAGGTCCCTGCCAACCTCAACCATTCTGTGATTTAAAGCTCTGTCAGAGACAGTGACAAGAATTGGCCAGCAACTAAAAATATAACATAAAATTATCCTGCACTATTATTTCCTGGTCTATCTCTGTTATGATTTATTATCTGCAATATTGTAATGCCTAGGGCTGTCAGATCTAGACAAGAACTGTATTGTATTAGTCATTAATACCTGACAAAATGATCTAATTATATGTACATAATAACACAAGGCTGGACAATATCAGCATTTGGAGTGTGGGAATAGGCAGTTGGGATCTTTTCCCAGATCTTTTCTTACACAGAAATTCACCAAACGTCTTTTCTTTCTCTCCTGGTGGTCTTCCCATTTCATCTGAGCTATCACTTTTTGAGAAAATCTTTGTTTATATTATGGGTTTGTTCTCATGTACTGCAAAGCATTGCAGTTCAAGTCATGAAAATACACCTACAAATGTACAAAGTCAGTTCGCTGCACCAAAGGAGGAGTGCAAAGGATCGTGATGCATTCATCAGTTTGTATAAAACAGGAAGGGAAAGGCATTTTTTTGTGCCTTTTTATTTGCTTGTTTGTTTTTTCCCAGCCTATGATGTTACTTAGATGATTATGCAAGACTCTGCAGGAGAACAGAGAAAAAGATACCAGTTGCAAGCATAATTCTTCCAGCAGATCAGTGGAGTGAGAATAACCTGGCATCCTTTTCCAACAGGCACGCTTGTAGGTAGTACCAGCTTGACAGCCTGTAGCAATGGTCCATCTCACTCCGGGATGTTATCCTTAACAGGATCTAAAGGATTGTGAGCAAACTTTTAAAACTTGGGTGCTAACTCTATATTTAGGCATGCAAAGCAAGTAGCCAGAGAGCAGGTGAGGAAACAGCAGGAGCATAAATCTTCAGCTTGCTAATGAGGGCTTGCTCCTGGGGAATCCTGTGCTGTGGCTTCTTGCAGTCCTGCTCTTCGCCCACTGCCCTCAGACATTGCTTAATGCAAATTCCCTTCCTCCAACTCTCGGGAAGGTGCTTTTGTACCAGACCACTGGCCGGGGGGACTCGATGCTTTTCTGGGAGTTAGGATGGAAAAAAACAAGACTGGGGATAGAGGAGAGAAACGCTGTTTCGAAGAGGATAAAAAGACAAAGTAGACACTTAAGGGAAAGGCAGAAGATCAGGAGAGCAGTGGCAGATAGGAAGAGAAACATCAATCCCAGAGGATGGAAGAACGGCAAGGAAAGACAAATGACAAGGGGAGAAATCCTGGATTATATCACTTATGAGACCTAACAAATTTTCAAACAGTGGAAAAGTTTTTTTCTTTAATAAGTCTTCTGGCAGGTTGTATAGGGGTATGTGCAGCCTTCCTGTAGATTTGGCATCCCATTACGGATAAAAAGGTAATATCCAAGGAGTACTACAAAATCTAGTATTTAGAGTGGTGTGTTGACTATACTGATTTGGAAAGTAAGAAACCCAGGGATCCCTGCTGTGAGCTAATGGGTGGGTAGGTGTGAAGAGCTCTCCTCATGTAGGAAAGGAATTAAGTGATTAACTGATGTTTACTGAGTGAGAAAATAGGTGAGTGAAAAGCTAGGTTAATTATGATAGGATAACTTGGGTCTGACTTACAGGCAAGGAAAAAAATCATTAAAAATGAATGTAAAACTAGGGAAATATCCAGTTTCAGGACAGTTCAAATTGGCATGACTAGTGCATGAATTGAACCTGCTATGTCAACAGTGATTGCAGTAATTTAACATGTGACTAAAATGGAGAAACTGGACAGGTGATGATAGAAGATAATAACTGAGAGGATAAAACATCATATTGTATGTTCATAAGAGCAAACAATTTTTACGATCTCTGGATTCAAGCTGATATGTCAGCTGGACCCCACTGTGTAGTGTTTGCTCATCAGCACCAATATCAGGTACTGTATTCCCCAGCAAAGAGACCTGAATGACAAACCCAGGATGGAGTTGAGCTGTGCTTCTCGGGGAAGAGATGGGAGCAGGGTCAGATTCCGGAGCAGCCAATGGGGGGCAGTGGGTGCACAGCTGCCCCCCAGGGTGCAGTGTGGGGGTGTGGGTGCTCTGGCAGCTGCCACCGGTACTAGTAGTCCCCAAGCCAGTGTGACTGTCAGGGAAAACAGCAGATCCTGAAAGGAAAAATTAATACTAATAAGCCCCCACTTCTACACATTAGGTCCTTTTTTTCAAAGATACAGCCTGCTTTTCCAGCTAGTTCAGATCCGCTTAACATAATGTATTTTCTTTAACATATTGATACTTAATTTGCTTTCAGTATAATAAGCAGCTTAAACCATTAAGTCATTAATAGCATCACCCTTCCTGCCTGCAGACTGATTGTCACTCTTGCATCTATTCATTTAGAAAATGGAAACTAAATTCAGGGGTAGATAACAATACACTTTTTTCTAGATATGCTGAAAATGGCAGCGTTTCTGAGTTCTCTTGATTAATCTTTGTGTGGTAGAAGTGTCTGCCTTTTGTTTCAACTGCCTTCCCAATTAAGGCCATCGGTGTATATATATGTTAAGGAAGGCCCTAGCCCCACTGTGATGATGTTCTAGGCACGTCAGACTGACCACAGCAGAACATGCTTGGAAGATGAAATTTCAAATGAGCAGCACATTCTGGTTTTATGCTGTTGTTTTAAGCTAATCTTTTACTAACTCATTTTTTGTAGACATCAGGGAGCAAATAATTGTTAAGAAAAGGTCTGAATCAATTGTCGGAGGTGTGGCTGAGAAGGAAAGCAAAAAAACCCAACCAAACAGCTGAGCATCAGAACACATTTCCAGATAGCAAAACCTATCCAAAACTCTTTCAAAGCATTTGAAATCAGACTTAATTTTTACAAGATCACAGTTTTGCACTTTTCTCTTTTTGCACTGGGTATAATGTTAAGAAAAGCAAAGCAAACTAAAAGACAGCCCTTTGTCATCCTGTCTGCCTCCAGGGCAGCTACTGCCCTTGTAACATGTCTTCTCTTGTTTTTGTTTTCAAGGACACATCATAACAATTTCCCAGAAAAAAAAATAAACCATACCATGGATGTTTGGGTCAAACGGTTAGCAGTGACAGCGCTGCTTACTATGGTTGATGCTCAGCTGCCGAAGCCGGCACGGGCCCCTCTGGTTCTGCACAAGCCTTTCGTGGTTGTTTGGAATGCGCCAACGGAGCAGTGCAGGCTGCGGTACAAGGTGGACCTGGATCTCAGTGTTTTTGACATCGCTTCCAACACCAATGAGACTTTGAGTGGATCCAATGTGACAATCTTCTATCACACTCATTTGGGATACTACCCCTACTACTCAGATAATGGAGATCCTGTCAATGGAGGGGTGCCCCAGAACGAAAGTCTTATCAAACACCTTAATAAAGCAAAGTCTGACATTGACTATTGCATACCCATGAAGAAATTTCAGGGACTTGCAGTCATTGACTGGGAAAACTGGAGGCCACAGTGGGATAGGAACTGGGGCAATAAAAGCATTTATAGAAATAAATCTCTTGAGATGGTTAGGAGTCGGCATCCTCAGTGGTCAGAGGACAAAATCAGGAAAGTGGCTAAAGAGGAGTTTGAAAATGCTGGCAAGAGTTTTATGAACAACACTATCCTTCTGGCTGAGCATATGAGACCAAACGGTTTGTGGGGTTACTATCTTTACCCAGACTGCTACAATTATGATTACAAAGAACACCCCCAAACGTACACGGGCAAATGCCCAGCCATTGAGTCTTCCCGCAATGACCTTCTGCTTTGGCTGTGGAAGGAAAGCACTGCTCTCTACCCTTCCATATATCTGGATTATGTACTGAAGTCAAGTCCAAATGCACTAAAATTTGTTCACTATCGGGTTAAGGAGGCAATACGTGTTGCCTCAATTGCTAGAAAAGACTACGTTTTGCCTGTGTTTGTTTACTCCAGACCATTTTATGCCTATACTTTTCATGTTTTAACAGAGGTAAGCAGACAGACTTCTTTAGAAATTTAGAGATTAGAAACAACCTCTTAGAAAAAAATACCTTCTAAAAGTTTTCCTTGCATAAAAGCACTTATGCATTTGTTTTTTGTATTTAAGGCAACCCCTCTAAAATGAAGTACTGTAGTCACAGTGCAAACACCTTTCAAGAGTTAATATTGCAGTGCTTTGGTCTACTTCTGTAGCATAACATTGTATTTTTTTAATGAGGGTAATTTAGAAAGAAAGCACAAAGAAATAATTTCCTTAAGGAAGTAATTCATTCTGGTATTTTAATTCTTCAGGACAGCTTGTGAAATGAGCTTGACAAATTTTCCTGAAGTTTAAAACTAATTAGTGTATGGAAAGATAAACTTTCATGAGAAAGGAGCCTCAGGGCTTTTTTGTTTCTTTATCTGAATGTAAATTCATTCAGTATAGAAATAAACCGGTCAAGTAAACTAGTCTGGCCTGGAGTTCCTAACTCCTGCATGATGAGCATTGGCCATCTCACTTTCCAGAGGTACAACACCTTCAGACATTTTCATGATCCAACATTAAGTGCTAACACAGTGGAGTCCTTTCAAAAAAGAAAACAAGTTTTTTGAGTCACACAATGTTCCTTCAAAGAATGATCAAGAGCAATAAATACGTAGTGGCTACAACATTGCTGGTAAAAATATATGCGTACAAATCCCAGACTTTCTGGATATGTAACGACAATTGTGGCTCTGACTTTGTTTATGCACATAGTAGAGACACAGATGCTTATTCATCTCTCTAGCAGTTGTCCCAAGTGCTGAAAGTTTTGCTTTGATCGCTATCATCTCCTCGAGGGGGAAGGAAATCTGGGGCAGGGAGCTCATGGAAACAACCCCTCGATGGCTAAGGACGTGTGGGGGTGCTCCCTGCCTTTGGTTTACGGAGAGCTGCATGAGAGTTCCCTTCTGCTGCTCCCAGAGACAAGTTCTTGACTCAAACCAGAACAGCAAAAGGGAGGGAAGAAGCAAAGGAAAAGGAAACAGTCAGTCCAGCAAACCACAGGCTGGACATGGCTTCAGCCTGGAGCTGGAGCTGGGGAGATGCTGTGGAGCCCCGACAGCCTGGGAAGTGTTTCAGGCTTCCCCCAGGAAGCAAATGTTACACAGAAGCAATCATGAATTCAGTCTGCCTCATTTTTAGCAACCAGGGACTCTTTGGAGCTGTTTCGTGTGTGATGTGGAAAGTGCAGGTCCTGGCTGACTCAGAAATGGTGGGCGAATAGGCAAGGCTGGGGCCTG